TACAAGGAGCAAATTGACCACTAATAAGGTAGTTTACTTAAGTGAAAGAAGATATTTAATGTCATTAATAACAAAAGACTTAGAAATCACAGGTCAGAATCATATGGCACACTGCCTACATCTAGACAAAAGGGACTTTCAGTGGCAGTTTAAAGAAAAATAATTAATATGTTAATGCTTTTGGAAAAAAACACACTCTGTCTTTAGCCAATGTCTTTGCCATCTGTTATTTCATTTTTGGGATCTTTGTATATTTATTATTTTGGCATAGTTTCTGAGGAGCCTGTCTGCTTTTTACCCTTGGTTTTTAAGTATAATTTTGTTTTGCCCCCAAGAATATAGTCACTTGTAATTCTGAAGGCATAGTTACTTCCATTACTGTACAGACCCAAGCCTCTGATTTCTAGCTCAGGGTAATCAAATTTTTAAATGTAAATTCAATTCCGTCAAGGTCAGGCATTCTTTTTCTTCCTTTTTATAAAGTCATTGAATGTTAGTCTTTTTGTTAGAAGAAATTTTTCATTTGCAATTTGGCCTTTCCTCATCTTTATTTACAAAAGAAGCATCTATGCCTAGAAGTTAAGTGTCTTGCCTAAGGATACACAGAAACAAAATCAGCTATGATAAGATCAAGATTCTTCATTCTCTTTTACGTCCCTGAATTTTTTTAAAGTATATGATCTGGGTTCTTTGACATGAAGTTTATTGTTCTTTCTATTGTTTGTTGTATTAATCTATTTATTAATCACCTAGTATATAGGAAGAAAACTTTTTGTACCAGAATGACATGTAAATTGCATCCATTTTTGAAAACAGGTAATGCATTTAATCTGTGTTCTTCTATGTATCAGCATTGTAAGTGGTGCATTTTATCACATATAGTAAGTTTTCAGATTATATTCATCCAATTACCTCAGTAATAATTTATAATTTGTTTTATTAAGTAGGAAAATGTCATATTAATGTTGCACTTAGGTTTTGGGACAACTACCTATATTCAATCCATTTTTCTTATTATCCATCAGAATTCCACTTTCACCCAAAACTATTTAACAATTAGAATCAAGTCTCTCTGCTCCCTTACTTATGTTTCCCTTACTCTAAGTCTCAGTAGACACCCAGTCTTCAATGTTTCCTACCACACCATAGTTGTAGATAATATATCCATTTAAATATAGCTTGCTAAATTCAGAGAATTATTTGCATACAATTATAGTAGAGTTGCAGTTGAAAATCAGTCATTTCAGCAGTCATTTATGCAGTCATTTCAGCCTGTCAATTTTATAGCATAATTGTATGTGCCCAAGTGTTTTATTTAGGTACTCTTCACCTTACAAAAGTACAAAACTGTAAAAAACAGAAGTAAGCTTCTCTTTTAGTTTCTTTATTGCTGGTGCCAAAATGTAGTTTCAATATGTTAAAAAATAATAAAACAAGTCACACTGATTTATAACTATAATTACCTATGCAGAATTTCTTCAAAGTGATTAAGATTTCTTTCTTGCTTTCTCATCAGGTTTCTTTTACTTTTTTTTTTGAGACAGGGTTGGTTCTGTAGTTCAAGCTGTCCTTTAACTCACTATTCAGCGAGGCTTGCCTCTAATTTGCAGTAATCCTCCTGCCTCAGCATCCCAAGTGCAAAGATTACAGGTGTGTTCCACCACACCCAGCTTTATCCTTAGGTTTTAGTGGACAGCAGGAATGGACACATAGCATAGAATTTAAAGTGACTACACAAATTTTCTTGTGCTTTACAAAGATCAGAAACAGTCCACTTCACCACTAAAATAGATCTAGAGTTACTTTTTGACTCACTGCTTTTCATTCCATACTCAAAACATCATCATTTGTCCTATATATGGTTTTAAAAACTGACATCTTTAAAATACAAGCCTGTCTGAATTGATTAATATCTGGCACAGTTTGGTACTTTCTTTTTTAAAAAACATGAATATGAGGTTTGTGGATCAGCTTCACACTTGCATGAATTTTTAACCCTTCTCTAGACTATGGAGACTTAGTCTCTTATTAGCTCTACTACAACCCAACAAGCTACCTTGTCATGTTATCCCTACAACTTTTCCCAAGATATAACATTCTAAAACAAAATATATAATCAGATAATTGTTTGGAAATACTGTTTGCTTTTTCATAGCATATGGTATAATGTTCAAGTTCTAACAAGCAAGATAAGAACCTTCATCATATGGTTCCAATCTTTTTCCAATCCTTTAACTTCCATGTTTTTCTTAGTTTCCTGCCTCTACAACATATACCAAAAGCTCTAGCTGAGCACATTACAGTCTCTGTAACCTGAGTGCTCTCTCATGCCTTACTTTTTCCTGTAATTTTCTCTACCTACACTCCTTTTTTTTAAACCCCCAACTTCAAAATTCCTGTTCAACCAAGTTCCAGTTCACATTATACATCCTTTATGAAGAATTTCCTTAATACCCTGGGATGGTGATTCTCAAAACTCCCAATCATACTTCATACATATTCTTATTATAGCACTTACCATAATGTTTTAAGATTTATATGTCTTTGCTTCACTTGGCTATATAGGGAACTCCATGATAAGTAAGGTTGGGTCTAATTCATTTTGTTATCACCAACACTCAGGAGTGTCTGGCAAATAATAAGTGCACAAGCGATGTTTCTTGAATAGTTAAGAGACTGATCTTCCTATTTATCCTAATGTATATCCCGTGGGCAGCTCCATTCCCCTATTTTGTCTACTGCTTATCAATCTCTTCCTCCTGCTACTTGTCAAACTTCCTCATGGGATTTTGCTTGTTCATCCAATGAACATAGCCTCTGATATTTGAGGTGATAATAAAGATGGGGACAGTATTCTGTTATTAAAGGTGGACACTGCCATTTGGTTTAGCACCTGCATAAAGAGTGGCTTCCAGCATTTTTCAGGATTTCTTTCAATATCTCAGGGCACAGTTTATTTCTAGAGCTTATTTAATGATTTGAGGATTATAGTATAAGTAACTCAGCACTATATATCTGCACTTACTATAATATGAGTCTTCTATAAGGGCACTTTTGTCTATATAAATTTCAACAACAAATTGATGATATTGAATTTTCTGCATATGAGGATATATCATTATGAAGTGATTTTAATAATATCTAAATAAAATTCAAACAACCCAGTATGCTACTGATATACATATTTTATGTGTTTGTAACAAACATGAACAGAATATCAGTTGTGAATAAATAATTATAACTAAAGTTAGTATGTTTATTCTTTTCCCTATATTTCTTTTTCAGTGTTTTAAGACAGGTTCTCATCATAAATAAGGCTGGCCTTGAACTCACTGTGTAGCCCAGGCTGGCTTCAAACTCAGCGATTCTCCTGACTTAGCCTCCCAAGTGCTGAGATTATAGGCATGCATCACCATGCCTGTCTAGTATGTTTATTCTTAAGAGCAAGATTACACAAATGTTAAAGGTAAATTATATTTGCTAATATGTAGAACAGGAAACACAAAATCAGCCTTCCAGAGATTAAATTAATATGTTATTATTTTATTGCTTAAAATATTAAAGGCAACTGAATGCTTCTGTCTGCGAGTGCAAGACAAGAAAGAATATGACAAGTTGTTACTTTTTATAGTGTCTTCTTTAATGTATTTTCATATTTACTTCCTATTAACATTAATATTATATTGTTTTTACCATGAAAAGAGAGAATATAATTTTATAGATAATGAAACTGAAACCCAGTAAATCTAAGAACTTGCTCAAAGATATACATCTAGATAGGGTCAGGAGTTAGGCTCAAATCCATATTCCTTTGCTCCCAGACTGAGGACTTATGTTTTATTTTATACTGTTTCCTTTCACTTTATTTTTCCCACTGTTTAAGTTTTATTTACTACACAGAAAATATGGAGTGTTTTTTCTAAAAAAAATGATTAAAAAATTGTGTGGAACTGCAGTTATGGTAGTTCCTACAAATGACTGAAATGCAAAACACTGAAAATGTCTTATTTTCACTGCTAATGGGAATATAACCACATAGTAATTACTGAATTTTAAAAAGCTGCGTAATTATTAGTCTAATTGTTCAATTCTCTAATGGCAAATGTTTAATTTTTTAACTACCATTAAATTTGTATTTATTTGTTTTATAAAGTACAAAAAGTTATGAAAAAGAATAATAGATTTCAGCAACTCCCAATAATTTCAATTTTCATACCTAAATTCTGAAGAGTAGTATATGCTGGGAATTTGGAATCTTAATAAACGTTTATGCTTTGAATTTCCCAAACAATCCAGTGAGATAGTAAATGTGCACAGAGGCCATCTTTCCTGACCTCCGGGAATCCTCCACACAGGAGCTAGTCCCAGAGTTATCTTTCCCTCATCATCTTTTCTCTCGAGGTTTGAAAAGAGGTCTCGCTGGGCTGATCCTGAGCACTGGCCTGAAGCATCATCTATGTCACCCCAATTTCAACTCAATCATTGGTGCAATCGCTCATTTTCCTCACAGGAGTATCTGCTCACTTCCCTACGGAAGTGTTCTGTATACTTTACCATTGAGAAAAACAAATGCTCCATAAATGGATACCTTGTCAAACTGACAGCCTTAGACCAAGCACAAGGAGCGGCATACTAGAGGGGCTGTGGAGTCAGGCAGGCCGACCTGGGTCCAAAGGCTGGTTCTGCCACAAACGGGTCTGTGCCACTTTGAGCAAGTCCGTTAACCTCTTGGAGACTTAGTTACTCCATCTGTAAAATACTCATAATATCTACAACACAGGGATGCTGTGAGGATCAAATAAAATCATTCCCATAAGGTGCAATGCCGGACACGGAGTAAGCCCTCAACAGGAGACGTTCCTTATTCTTAACAGGACAGCCCAATAAAGCCAGAAGCCAGGAATTCGTGAAAACCCTTCCTTGCAACAACTCCAGGCTCATTCCCCATGGGTTTGTCCCGGTGGGCTGGGCCAGCTCAGGGCTGCACCAGGAGTGCCTACCGATGCCAGAGCGGGTCCAGAGGCTGAAAGCCTCCAGGTCACATGGCTCCCGGTCGGCGAGGGTATGGCGTCCAGGTAATGCTCCACGAACAAGCCAGCCTGCAAGGCAAGGAGGGCCTGCGC